TTTATGTTGTCTCTGATTCTGTCATTATAGATTTTCATCAGACTATATAGGACTATCTCTTTTTTTTGTCCCTACATATGTGGAATCCAGTTTTAAATTTCCAATCCAATTGTTTGTCACTGTTATAAAAAAAAGTACTTGACTTCCAAATCTATTCTAAATCCTTGCTATAATCTCCTGTGAATTTTCTTTTGTGGAACTGGGGATTGAACCTGGGGCCTTCAGCATGTTAGGCAAGCGCTCTACCACTGAACCACATCCCCAACCCTCGTTTTCATGATTTTTTGGAATTTCCTGTGTAGACAATCATGTATCTATGAATAGAGACATTTTTTTTCTTTTAAAAAATAATTTATTAATTTAAAAATTAAATTAAAATGCAAATGCTTAGTTAATAGTGTTGACTCCAAGGAAAAATAAGCCCACTGGGCTATCTCCATAGTTAAACCTGTGGGTCTTGCATCTGTTCCTGAAGGTGGACCACATAATGTCCCTGCCATTGCAGATTACCACTTGAAAATTATAAACTGGATGCACTGAATCTGAGTTACATCCCAGCCATTCTTATTCTTTTTTATTTTGAGACAAAGTCTCACTAAGTTGCTGCTGCTGGCCTGGAACTTTTGATCCATCTGCCTCAGCCTTGCAAGTGACTGGGATTATAAGCCTGTGCACTGTGTCCAACAAACTTTTAGAATTTTTGTACTGGAGGTAAGAATCTGAAAAGAGGTAAATTGTTCTTTCTTTTGCCTGCATGTACACACACATAGAGAGAGGGAAAAAGAGAGATTTAAAAGGGCCTGGAATAAACAATGATTCAACCTTCTTTCTCTGAAATAAAAAAAGTGGGGAGGGTGCATGCTGGCTCCTTAGGGTCATCAATAATGTCCATTTTGTCAAACCCAGCAGTCATCTCCTTGCCCTCATTTACTAGATTTCTTAGTGGCATTCATAGCTGATTGCTCCCACTTTATTGAAGTATTTTTCTTTTAAGATTATGTCACTTCTCTACTTAACATTTTCCAGTGGCTTCTATTTATTTAAAAAAAAAAATCAATCTTTTGATGTTACTCCATGACCTGGCCCCTCGCTCCCTCCCGCTCAGATTTTTCTCTCCTCCTCCTAGCACCTGGCTCTCTGTGTTCCTCCTCATTCGCCTTTCTTCCAACTCTCCAAGCTCACTCCTTCCACAGGCTCTGCACTTGCTTTTCTTTATGATTCTCTTTCTTTGGATGTTCACAAGACATTCTGGTCTTCATGAAAACATTGTCAAGAAGGTATAAATAGCTTAGTAGCTTGCTCTCATACCATTTGTGTAATTTTTGTAATGTTATGTAATTTCTGTAAGTACCCCCTTCCCAAAACAAGAGTGCCTAATCTGAATCTACAGTATACAAATAACATTAAAGACACTCTGATTTTGCCCTGGAATTGACTATGACCTCTTCTCAGCCTACTTGAGGGCCCTCTCCTAATAAAATCATTTAGGATTTTCCAAATTCTCATGGAAATAGGTAGGTAGACACTATCTACCCCTAGTCTCTAAGATCAAAATTACTTTTTCTTCACTTCTTCAGTGTCTAAGTATTGGATTGTACATATCTACCAATTAGAGGATTGTAAGATCAATTTTAAGGGTCACAAGCAGTACTTTAAAAAATTGAAATAGACTACAACAGAATTTAATAGAAAATATCAGAATGCACCACACTAATTCCTGTCTGGGACTTCGGATAATTCAATCATTTGTAAAGAGAAGAGTCAGGGAAGGAGGGAAAATCTATACACTGGAATTTCCTGGGTTCATTTATTGGACAGATAGCATTGTATATCCCAATTTTATATTATCAGAACTCACTGTAACTTATGAAATTAAGTACATGAGAGTATTATTTGCTTGTAGAAAACCCAAAATTTCCAACTTGATGTTTTTGGAAATGGGTGTCACCAGTATGGTATGTGTATCAAGTATAATATATTACACAAACTAGCATAAACTGCAAGATGTTGTTTTGTTATTAGGAGAAAAAGGAATACAGAAGCAAAAACAAACAAACAACAACAACAACAACAACAAAAAACACCAAAAAAAAAAAAAAAAAAAAAAAAAAACCCAGAAAAGTGTTCAGTTTCAGCTGCTGGAACTAGAATTGTAATAATGAAAATATTTAGAAAACATTCACTCTAATTCATAAACATTGATTTTACAGCTCATTCAAAAAGGAAAAGTGCATTTCCTGAAAATGAAAACATATTCCCTTCAAAACTAAAATGACATCTGAAGATATAGTAGAGTGAAATTATCAACAAACTCCTAAATATGTGCTTAGAAAAGGCAAAGTTATTGGCATAATTTCTCAGTTGTTCCACAAAAAGAAAGACAATCTTCATATTTAGTAGCCTAATATTGTGGCAAAAAAGAAAAGTGGTTCATGGTAAGAGCTCAAACTCCTCTTCATCCAGCACTGATGGATATGGTACTGATAAATGAAAAACTATTCTTCTTGGTGATGTCACAATACCAATTGTAATATCACAGAACATTTAGAAACTCTTACTACTGCAAGATGCATAATTTTTATGCCAAGACCATATCATAGAGGAATTATTTTTGCATAGAGAATGATATATTTAAAATCATAAAATAGCATTTAAGTCAAAAAAATTAAGCTATACTATTTATAGAATTTCAACTGAAGGAACAGCAAAAATGATCAGCAAACAAGGTAGAAATGAAAAAAAAGTGGAAGAAACTATTAGAAACAAGATAATTTGAAATACCACATAAAAACAAATGTATATAAGATTCATCTAACTTTCAAAAACTTAAATAATTGAATAAAGAGGATAAACTGTTGTGGATTAATACTTCATTTACACAGAAAAATGGTTGCCATACATGAAATTTATCAGGTCAGATAAAGATTAAAAAACAACAATTACTATGAAAAACATAGGTATACACTATTATAATTTATAACTGTTTAAGTATGTGAATTAGAATTTTCAATTTTGAGCCATTTAAAATAAAGTGAAAGTTCAGTGCTCAACATGCATTCTGGACTGAAATAAACCTATGAACATTGCATTAACTAAAATCTTTCCTAACTTGCTTCTGTATAATCATATATTTTATAAACCATAAATATTATTTATACATTTTATATTGTTTTATATTTACATTGTGTAATATATTTTTAAGTATTGTATTCTTTGTTTTTATTCCCACCCAGGAAGGCCACTATTGTGACACTTGTATCTCAGGTATGTACTATGGGTGCATACACTGGGTTACAATGTAAAATCTGTTTCTAATTTGTGGGATATGGTTCCAAAAGTTGGGAAAACACCCCGTAGGTTAATAGTTAGCAGAAGATAATGTTAGGTGAATAAGTTACACAAATGCAGAATGGTTTGGTCCAAGACCACCAGTTTGCAATCCCTGGGCTAAATTGTGAAGGATATTGAGTATAGGTATAGAATTTATTTTGTAGGTACATTGTAGCTAGGACAGAAAAGGGTATAATAAAAAGTGTTTTAGAAGCGTTAATATGTCCCTCGCGACATTTTCCTCCAATGTAAAAAGTCTGAGAGCAGAAAGGTCACGAAAAGTGCTGTTAAGACAGTCCTAAAATGAGACCCTAATGGCAATCAGGAGTGGAGGGAAAGAAGAAAATGGAGGTAAACACAGTGCCAAAAAAAAAAAAAAAAGATAGCTTTTACGAGCTAGGGGGGACCTTTGGAATCATAGGTTCCATCATCATCTTGGTTCAACATGAGAAAGTAAAAGAACAAAACCAAAAACCTACTCAGAATATCTGCCTTCACACTCAGGATCCTCAATACTTAATCCAGTTAGTACAATTTACGGAGGGCTTAGATTCCTTAGAGGATGTGAAGGGCGAGCCCTCAAATTTACTTTCTTCGGAATGAGTTTTAACGGCCAGCGATTCTCACGCCTTAAAATCTGAATTCCAATTAGTTTCTCCCAGTGCGTCAAGAAGGCGTGTCCAATCCCCTCTCCTCCCCGCCCTGAAACGGAGCATTCGGCATAGTTTCAGAGGGTGCGTCGACTAAACCACATCAAACCCTCCTAAATTAGCTTGAATCCTATTTGTTTCAACAATTTGGGCCTTATGAATGAATACAGAAATGAATATATTTGCTCGTTCAATTTTCAAACTGGAGAGCTTTACTGAGTTTTACACAGTGCCCCTCGCCGAGCGAGGCGAAAGGGAACGAGTCTAGAGGGGACACGCGTGGGAGACAGCGCCGCGCTTCCGGCAGGGGTCTGGTGGCGCTGGCCACCTCGGTTCTTCCCGGTATAAGTCGGGCTGCCCGGGCACAGGGCGCGCAGGCACAGCGGGCGGGCGGAGCGTCCCCTTCCTCTCTCCTGAACTCCTGAATACTCAGCTGACAGCCCAACTCCATCGCGGCGGGAACGGAAGGCCAATGTCTGGCGGGACCCGGCGCCATAGCGAGGTTGGTCCGGGGCACATCCCGACGCTCGCCTCGGAGAGTCCCAAGCGCATCTCGGTTTCCGGGTGCGAGTAGGAAGCTACTCGGGAAACCCCAGATCCCTCCCTCAGAGGAAAGTAGCCGATAGCGTCCCCGTTTCCAAGGAAACATGCCGGGTCATGACGTCACTTCCGCCGGCTTGTCTGGACTCCAGACTGTTGGAAGGAGAAGAGGAAAACTGAGCAACAGCCACGACGGTGGACGCGAGCGTCTCCTCTCTGCGCATGCGCCCGCTCAGCGGCCTGCTTCTATTTATGTGGGGGATCCAACATGGCGGCTGCGGCGACCCTGGCGATGGCGGTAGAGCCCATCAGAACATAGTAGCGGGGAAGAGGGCACGGTCCACGCTCACGGTGGCGTCGACGGAGACGGCTGAAGGTGGTGGAGGGAAGAAAAGCGACGGAGAACAAGAGGAAGAGCGGACAGGCACGCAGCGCGGCGTAGAAGCGAGCGCCGGCTCGAGCGAAAGCGAAGGGCCAGAACAGTGGGGATGGCGGAGCCGCGCAGAGTGGCGTTCATTAGCCTGTCACCGGTGAGGCGGCGCGAGGCCGAATACCCGGGGGCCGAGCGCGAGCCCGAGTGCCCCCGCGAACCCCCCCGGCTGGAGCCGCAGCCGTACCGCGAGCCGGCCCGGGCGGAGCCACCGGCCCCGCGGGAGCCGGCCCCCCGCTCGGACGCGCAGCCCCCGCCGCGGGAGAAGCCGTTCCCCCAGCGCGAGGTCAGCCGCGCCGAGCCGCCCATGTCGCTGCAGCGCGAGCCCCCGCGGCCCGAGCCGCCGCCGCCGCCGATCCCTCAGCTGCCCTTGCAGCCGCCCCCGCCGCGGGAGTCGGCTTCTCGCGCCGAGCAGCCGCCGCCTCCGCGGGAGACGGTGCGCCTGGAGCTGGTGCTCAAGGACCCCACCGACGAAAGCTGCGTGGAGTTCAGTTACCCGGAGCTGCTGCTGTGCGGAGAACAACGGGTACAGAGGATTCCTCCCTCCCGCCCCAGACCCGGGCAGCCTCAGGACCCGCCGCCTCCCGCGGCTGGTTTGCACCCCGGGACAGCCCCCGGCGCGTCCTGGTCACCCCGAGGGTGGGGTGGAGGGTCCCGGCCGAGCGGGTGGACCGGGCGGGAGCGCGGTGCAGCTCAGCTCCCCGGGGTGGCCGAGGCTCTCCTCGCGACACCGCACCGCGCCTGTTTTTCTCAGCACCTTTCGAAACCTCGGATTTTTCTCTTTTCCTTTCTGCTCCCTACACAAAATCTTGGGGCCCTGCGAGCCGTGTGGCTGGGTTCTTGTGGCGCTGCCGCTGTCTTTCCAATAGATAGGAAGAGAAAACCTTGGGGGACACGCCCCCCAGCCTGAAGCCGAGAGATTGTGTAACCCCTCGTTTCATCCTCATCTTCATCACCGTGGTGCAAGGCGCCTGTGCTGCCGAGCTAGGTTTGCGTGCGGGTGGTTTTTTCTTAATTGAAGGGGATTTAAGAGTAATTAACATTTTCAGAGAATAGGGATTCCACTTTAGGAATGGAGAAATTGGTTAGTTTTCTGATTACTTATTTTTTTCCCCCTCTCGTATTGGCAAACGTTTTAGCATCTTTTTAAAAATTTTAGTTTTGATGGAGTTTGTTCATACTGTCATTGAATGGGTGGGTGTCTCTCCTGCTTTATTGGGTGCCACTCATCATATTCTCATTTGAGTACCATTAATTTATAACTCTGAGTTGTAGGATATTATACTTGGCCATTGTAATTTGTGAAGTATGATGGAAAAAAATCTTGACTTTGAAATTTTAAAAACTTTATTGAAAAGACATAGGTATACCTTTGATGGAACTGGTGAACAATGGGATTGGAACAGCGGTTTGTTGGTAATTGTAATTTTTATTGTTGTGGGTTCATCTTTGCAAGTGAGTCAGAAAGGGAGATGATAGAGTAACAGAGAGGGAGAAAGAGAGAGGAGAGAGAGAACATTGTCTTCTGTTTTTAGAGATTATGGCCTTTTGCTTTAGCATGGGTCTCTAATGGACTCCAGAAGTCACTTGGTTTTGTTTTCCTCAACTATCTGTAGTTGAAATGAATGGCTCTTTAGTCAAAAAGTATCATTAAACACTGTTGCCAGATTTTGTTTATATTGTAGCCAGGTAATCTTTTGATCATAAGTTACAAATAGTGTTGTGTGGTCAAATAATTATTAAATGATTTTAAGGAAAATTAATTTTGTTAAGGGTAGGGACTATTTTGGTCACTGTCACATAACATTTTGTCCTCCCTTAGTGCCCTCATCTTGATAAATGTGATGTAATTTTTTTCCCAAAGAAAATTGAAAGTGTATGGAGTATTTTTTGAGTAAATTGTATTAGACCTGCTAATCTAAGTAGGCTTGCAATTTTTGTAATTTTCATAAATTACAGATAAAAAGCATTATCTTTGGATAAAAATACATAATACCAGCTAATGTATAGTGAATTCTTACTATGTGATAGACAGAGTTGCAAGCAGAATACATTGTTTTATCTGGTTTAGTGTAACAGATCATTAGGAAAGAATCATTGTCCCTACTTTAAAAATGAGGCTAACACATAGAGTGATTATATTTAATTTTATTAGTATTTTTTCCATTGTAATAGGGATGCATAGTAAAGCAAAATGTCTGTTAACTAATACTGGTTAAAATTTAGAGCATGATGTCAAAATCAAGTTAAAGTCATAGTACAAATATAAAGACCTTTTTAATAACCTCCTTTATGCTGTAATGTTCATGCCATGATAAATCAATATGTATTTATAATTTTCAAAAAGAAACAAGTTCAGGGAAGAAAGCTTATTTTGACACCCTAGCTTTTGTTAACATTTTGATATCACAACTATTAACAGTCATGTGGTGTTTAAGGATAGGACATTTGCAGTTCCCTCATTGTGCAAGCATCATGGAATGTACTTAACAAACCTAGGTGGTATAGTCTACTACTTTGCCTCCTATTGTGTGCCTGCTGTGTCCTTAAGACATTGTCCTGTAGAGTGTGACTATACCTTCATGTTCTAGGAGAAAGATGAATAATTTGATGTTTATGTTTACTGCATACATAATGTTTATTTAGGGGTTAATTGGTCCAATTTTATCATTGTACATTCAGCCGTATGCCTTTTATCATCCCACAAGTTTTTTTTTTTTGCTTCACTATAGATACAAAGTACTTCTGCAACAAAAATTTACCAGATTTTCTTGTGATTTCTCCCAGTTAATACATAAGAAATAGTAGAAAGCACTTGTTTAAGTAAAATCATCATAGTTCCATGACAGGAAATCCTAAAGAGAGGCCATCTGAAAGCAAAATGAGTAGCTTAGCCTGGAAAGTATTGATTCCCAAATATTCCTCTCCTTTCCTGGGAATAGTCCACATATTTTGAGAGATGATATAATATTTTCAAAGTAGTTTTAATTTTGGGTTATTGTAATTGAACATAATGTTCTGTAAATATCAGAAGAAAAAAGGGAAGAAAGAGATCTTATAAAATTAGAAGGAAAACGCTCTAAATTTTTTATACAGCCATCTATCACTGAATAAGATTGCAGCTCTAGATCCCAAAGTTGATACATGTGGAATTGGAGGGGAAAAGTGGTACTTGTGAATACCATCTATATGGGGGTGCATTTAAAATCAGTCCCCTTCCATTATGTATAAATGTAATGCACCCATAAAAAAAAGGAAAAAATGAATCAGCCCTTTTATACATGCTAAATGAAAAGTTAAACACAAGTCAACTGAAACTTTTTCTATGACCAGTTTTTATAAATGAGGAAAAGCACAGTTAAATAGAATATGCTGGCAAAACAGAGAGAGCAAAGCCACCTCTCAGGTCATCTGGATGTAGTTGACTAAAGTTTTCCTTGATGCTTCTGTGCAGAATGTGCTGTGGCTGAGGTGGTTCAGGATGAGACCAAGGCAGTATAGACATCTCTATCCTGATAGACTTGTTCACCATTTCTGTCTGAAGAATGATAGTGTGTTTTAGTTTTGGCAGTGATTGATGTACAAGGAAAAAAACTTGTAAATCAGAACACAGAAAATTTTGTGAACATGAATAATTGGATGATTACTATAAAGAGAAAAATAAGTAACTGTAGTATTAATGTAACTGTACTAAAGAATTCTCTGGGACTGGGATTGTGGCTCAGTGGTAGAGTGCTCGTCTAGCACTCATGAGGCACTGGATTCCATTTTCAATACCACATAAAAATAAATAAATAAAGGTGTTGTGCCCATCTACAACTAAAAAACAAATATTAAAAAAGAATTCTCTGGCATTCTGTTGTTTGTTCCATTGCATATTTTGGATAAAGTTGGATGAAAGATCAGGAAATGATGTTAATAAGAGCAAAGGGCAAAATTTTGCACATGGATAGTTAGGGTAGCTGGTAATTTTTGGATTATTTTTTCACCTAAAAAAAAATAAAAGAATCATACTTCAGTTTGATTGAAGGAGGAGAGGTATTTTTAACTATAAAAGAAAAATAAATCTGGGCTGGGGTTGTGGCTCAGTGGCAGAGCGCTTGCCTAGCATGTGTGAGGCACTGGGTTTGATTCTCTGCACTGCCTATCAATACATAAAATAAAGGTCCATTGACAACTAAAAAATATTTTTAAAAAAGGAAAAATGAATCATTTTCTTAAATTTATTTTTATGGACCATCAGGAGTAAATAAAAATATTCTTTGAAACCTGTATAGAGTACATAAAATATTTTAGAATAACACATAAAGATTTTTTTTGTGTGTGTGTGCTGGGGATTGAACCCAGGGCTTTATATATGAGAGGCAAGCAAGCACTCTATCAACTGATCTATATCACTAGCCCCTAAAGATGATTCTTAATAAAAATATAGCTCCCTGTGTGGATATCTACACATATGAAATGGATAAGACTGGTAGAAAGACGTACTATTTGGACTTCACAGTGACTTGAAGGGGCAGTTTAAAATAATAATAGCAGAACATGGTTATTGCTCACTGACCCTTAATTTTAGCCTTAAGGCTATACCTGAACATCTCTAGTATTTCTTATTTCCTTACCAGTGTATTCTTTTTTTTTTTAAATATTTTATTTATTTATTTAGTTTTTGGCAGACACAACATCTTTGTTTGTATGTGGTGCTGAGAATTGAACCCGGGCTGCATGCATGCCTGGCGAGTGTGCTACCGCTTGAGCCACATCCCCAGCCCCTTTACCAGTGTATTCTTGCTAGTTTATTTTCTTTTGGGTAATGTTTATATTTTTCATTGATAACTCCAACTGGGATAAGGCATTCTACAAATTTATTACTTATTACAGTTATAAAAATTTATTCTAAAGTAAACTTTTTAAGCCTTAAGAAGTATCCTTTTATTCTAATGACCTAAGTGTGATGAATTGTTTTGTCTTCATTCTGCCCATGGTTTCCTATCAGATGTTTTAGACTGATCATATCTCAGCCTTTATGTCTAGGATGAAGCGTCTCGGTTCCAAAGTATGGAAATCTTTGCCTCTTCTGCATTTTTTTCCCCTGTCCTTCATGGTCACTCAAATCTATACAGTATTCGAGTTGTAATATACTTTTTTTTGGGGGGGTACCAGGGATTGAACCCAGGGGCGCACAACCCTGAGCCACATCCCCAGCCCTTTTTTTATTTTTTATTTTGAGACAGGGTCTTGGGGAAGTTGCTGAGGCTGGCTTTGAATTTGTGATCCTCCTGCCTCAGCCTCTTGAGTCACTGGGATTACAGGTGTGCGCCACTGTGCCTGGCCCATACTTTCATTTTTAAGTAATCAAAGATACCACTTAATCAAAACATCTAGTCTTTCTTTTTAAACATTTACTTTCAAATCAATTGTCTGAAATTAGATAAAAATAATATTTTTAAAAAGTAGCTCTGTATTTTGACTTTTTTGTGTGTGTAAATTGAAAACCATATATAAAATTGTGTCTGCTGAAGTAGTGAACCTGAGTAAAGGTTGTGATTTGTTTGTTTTGGCAACAGATGGTAAATATAGGATCCTAGCTGTTGGGTGCAAGCATGCGCTCTCTCTGCCTGTGTGTGTGTGCATGTGTGTTGTGGGGTTTTTTGGTTTTTTTTTTGGTACTGGGGATTGAACTCAGGGGCACATGACCACTGAGCCACATCCCCAGCCCTATTTTGTATTTTATTTAGAGACAGGGTCTCACTGAGTTGCTTAGCGCTTCATCGTTGCTGAGGCTGGCTTTGAACTCGCGATCCTCCTGCCTCAGCTTCCTGAGCCGCTGGGATTACAGGCGTGTGCCACCATGCCCGGTGCATGTGCGTTTTGAACTGCGTATTTTACAATAAAATTTCACTGTCCCCTGCTAAAAGAAAGCCATGGTAATGTAAACTTTTCGCAGTTACTTGTCTTTTCTACCTTTGTTTAAAAATAATATATACTCCCTGAACATATATCCATTGACAAGAGATAGAGAGGATATAGAAATTGTTGATTCTGGGTCTCATCAGAAAGCTGGGGAGGCTGAAGATACTGGAGTAATAACTCATAGATGATTAAATGTTTAATTAATTTCTAGACATTCTTTTAGAGACATTTCCTGACCAAAGCAGTTAAGCTTTATTAGGGAAGATGTCAAGCTGGAGTTATGTATGTTTTCATTTTTACCTAATGTTTTGGGGAATTTTCACCTTATTATTTTGGATGAGGTGATCGCATGACTATTTTTCAAGTAGAGTCAGTTTGGATTGTTACATTCTTGGACACCAAAAAGCTAGAAGTATATAAGTCTACCAAAACTGCAAATATTTTCTTGTTATGAATCAGCAATTCTTTTTTAGTTACTTTTAATCCTACTAATTTGCTTGTTTGCAGTAGGAAAAAGTGATTCTCATTATTGATTAAATTTCAGAATACATTCAACTGTGAATGATAATAATTAAAGTAATTATACAATGTATAATTATTGAATACACATTAAATGTTATTGAATATAATTGCATATTCAATTATATTGAAAGATAATTGAAGTAGTTAATGTATATCAATAATAATAATAGTTGAAGTAATACTAATACTTTCTTTTCTTTTTCCTATTCACTTTGAATCAGAAGAAGATTGTTCATACAGAAGACCCATTTAATGATGAGCATCGGGAGAAGCAAGAGGTAGAAATGTTGGCTAAGAAGTTTGAAATGAAATATGTGAGTATAATAGTGTTTGGATAGGTGGTTTTATCCTACTGTTCTATTTTCTTTTCATGGCTGGTTGGGAGGGTTTATAAATATCCATTGCCTGCCTTGTCTTGTTCTCACAAATTGAACCCAAATGAATGGTAAGAGTTTGATTACATTTGTGATGGTTGTAGTAGTAGACACCATTTGTTATAGTCCTTCTAGAGTCCAGAAAGCTGGCTTAACATATATTATCTCCAGTTTTTATAACAATACCACAAGATAAGTAATATTGTCCATATTTTACAGATGAAGAAATAGGCTCTGAGCCCAGTTGATCTGTGTTTCACAGTGACAAGAACAGGTAGCAGCACATCCATACTATCTAGCTCTAACCTTGTGCCTTTTCCATTATGGGGAAGCACTCTGTTTTAATTCGCTTGGTGTAGTAGTTTTTGAACCTTTCTTTTAAAAGTTTAAGAGAGTTAGTGTGTGAGCTATACTTCTAGGTCATTTGGATCATTCTCAATCAGAAGCAACACAAAATTTCTTTGAAAGCGTCTGTTTATCTTAAATATTCATGTACATTCTATATTCTATGCCATATTATATTAGTTCTTATTTTATATAAAAATGATTTTTATTGCCTCAGATTTTCTAGTATAATTTGTAGGAAACTCCCCAACCCCCCATCTTTAACTATGGCTTTAACTACTCTTTGGCACTTTGCTAAAAAAATAACCCAGATGAGAAAATCAGATCCCTTTTGATTCTTCCATGAACATTGAGAAGTATTTTATAGAGATAGGATATCAGCTCACACTGGCCCTGCCATTTATATTATCCTCAAAATGTAACATGGTTGACTTTTTGGTGGCTCCTTGTGGTAATTAAGAAACCATTTGTGGGTGATAGAAATATACAAGAAAAGATTAGAATTTTTGTCAGTTTCTAGGCTTACTTTGCTACCTGCTGATTGTGTCCTTTAGATGAGGTTATTTAGCCTCTTAGGGTCACATTTTTTAATAAATCAATTTTCAAGATTTTTTCAGAGACCCTTCTGGGTCTGTATTCTGTGACTATATAATAATAAATTTAGAGATGAACTGGTGGGTATTTTAATAAAAAGGATAGTAAAAGTTGTTAACTCTAATTTGTAATTTTTTAATTATAGTATAACTTTGTGAGATTATACTGTATTGCTATGTATAAGTCCTAAAATGCTGTGTTTTGTATACAAATTATACATTGTTTAATGTGTTTAATCAAGCAGTGCATTTACATGGTTTAAAATTTTTTAATAACTATAAAGTGACAAATTTTCTTTATTGTATTTCCCACTCATTTAATCCCACTTCCTAGGCAGATAACGTGTTGGGTGGGTCCTTTTAGAGATGTTATATGTGCATGTCTCTCCCTCCATATACATATGTATACATATATATATGTATATGCACATATATATGCATACATATACAATTACATACACAAATATGCACACCCTCTAGTCCATGCCACCCACTTGTTATACATGTTTTCAGAATACTATACATCCTTGTACTCTTTACTTTTTTGCATTTTCTATATCTTAGAGATTTTTTTTCTACTTCTCAGAACAAAGAGCATATGCTCTTTTTATTTAAGGCTTTTAAAATTATTTATTTATTGGTACTGGGGGGTTGAACTCGGGGGCATTGAGCCACATCCCCAGCCCTATTTTTTTTTTTTTTTTTTTTTTTTAATTTAATGACGGAGTCACTGAGTTGTTTAGCTCCTTGCTTTTGCTGAGGCTGGCTTTGAACTCTTGATACTCCTCCATCAGCCTCCCGAGTTGCTGGGATTACAGGTGTGCGCCACCATGCCTGGCTATGTATGATATTTTATTGTATGGAAATATCAGTTTATTTAACTAGTCCCCACATGGTTTAGGTTGTTTAAAAAATTTTTGCTCTTATAAATGGTGCTGCAGTAAATTATTTTATTAAAGTGTCATTTTACACATTTTCAAATTTATCTGCAAGACAAATTTATATAAGGGGAAGACTTGGTCAAAGTTTTATATATTTATCATTTTGCTCTGTGTCACTAAATTTTCAGATTCCACTTCTTCCAGCTTGATAATTAGAGTGGGTTTTTGTTGTTGTTGTTGTTGTTTTGCCATGGATTATTAAAAAAAAAAAAAAATTGCCCTTTGCAAATCGAAAAGATCCTGTACATACTATGACTCAGTGTGACTCAAGATTCGACTTGTAATGTGACTCAGCGTGTGACGACATCCTGCCTCCAAGTTAGCAATAATCTTCTTGGGGTCCCCTGGGTTAGCATTTGGCATAGAAAAACCTGTGTTCTGATGTTGTGTGATATATAAGATTGAGTTTCAAACAATTTGAATATATCCAGACATTGTCATTATGCCCAGATAAAATACTACTCATTTTTTCTTTTTCTTTTTTGTAATGCTGGGGATTGAAACCCAGTGCCTTGTACATGCAAGGCAAGCACTCTACTGAGCTATCCCCAGCCCCTACCCCCCAGCCAGAGTCTCAACTAAGTTGTTGAGGCTGACCTCAAACTTGTGATCCTCCTGCCTCAACCTCACAAGTCACTGGGATTTCAGACATGCGCCACTGCATCCCACTTGAAATACTACTCTTATTATAGCCCAAATTAATGTGGTATGATTCTTCCCTAAATTTTTATTTTCCCTACTTTCACTTCCATTCTAATTAGAGATTTACAATGTACTATATTGTGAAATTTTATGTACATGAACCTAAATGCATGTTATAATTATCATATCTGTGTTAAATTTATATGTGTGTGTGTGTGT